AGTAGGTATCGAAAGCGCTGTAGCCCTCAAGAGGACACATCCGACGCTTATTTTCTGTCTCAAGTTCAGTTTTCACACCGTCCTTTTTTCGCAGCTAGATGATATTGGCATTGGATCACGAAAGGAAGCTATTAGTGAGCAAGAGGTGGCAGGATGTCGCTTTTCTGACACAACATGAGCAGGTCCAGAAAAGGTGCCAAGGGGGCTGCCAGGTCTTTATTTGAAGTGTTCTCCATTATTTTGTTGCCTTTTTTCTCCCCTGGAGAATCATTTAGCGACTATGGGTTTGTAATTGAACGCCACTATCCACACTATGCAATCGCGTAGTTTGTCTTCAACAGAACATTTCCCTTTGTCACATAGGCGGAGTGGGCCCCCAGCTGTATCTTCCGCTGGAGCGCCCCTTGATTCCATCGACTTGAAGGGAAGCGTTTCACCAACAGAGGGGACATAATAGTCCCAGACCTGGCTCTGCCCACATGATCAGGCTGGACCGTGCCTTGAGTGCAGGATGACGGCACCTAATTTTCGGAATGTCTAACTCTTCGAGAACATTCCTTTCAGTGCTGCTGAAACTGTAACGTACATACATGATAAATTTTCAAAGAACTTTAGTATTCTTTTGCAACATGAAAAAGTACTGGTTGAGATTGAGTTACTACGGTTTTCGGTCCCATCTTCCAAAAGCGGATATCTCTGATATCCGCTTTTGGAAGATGAGATATCTCTGATCTTCCTGTTGTTCATCTTCTCTTGATTGACAGCCTCTATGTGAAATAATTTCGACTGTTGTGAAGTATATGCTTAGAGATGTTGTTGATAATTTGAACATAAGTATCCGTGGGCGATCTTGCTTGAGTTGTGCTGGTTAGTTGTTTGATGAGCTTGAAGGGTGATGAACCCTCTCGCTTGAGGTCCCCCTTGTTCGTTCGCCTGGGGTCCCGGACGAATTCGTTCGTAACGGGTTAAGTTGTCAGCAAGCCCCAGTAGAGTGCCGTCTCGTATCTTTGCGTTCAGAATCGTGAGGGGACTTTTTCATTCATGCTGAATGGGGAAAACAACGTTATCCACCTGGCACAAAGAAAGTTTCATAACCTCATTCCCAATTCCTACCACGTCACGCTACCCGAATTTCGGTCACTTTGTTATCTTTATTCTTTTATATTCGTAGCTTTATTTGTTTTCTTTCCTTCTAACTGTGTTCCTGTGCAATGAGTTTGTTCTTTCGTAACTATGCGGCGCACCTTCTGGTGTATTTGAATAAATAAATAAATAAATAAATCTCGCCGTCAGCAGAAACAGTAGATATTTTCACTATCAAAACGCCTCAGGCTGCGTTCACACCTTGCGGCAGCGTCCAACAGCGACCAGTAGTGTTCCGAGCGTCCGGCAGCGTCAGCGGGTAGGAAAGTGTAGATATCGATCCTTTTGTAATTGCACCCAAGCACGTTGTTTACCAGCGTCCAAGAGCAGGGTAATGGGCGATAGGAGGGTTAGTGGACTGCGTGTAGAGAGCATGGCGTCATAGAAGTGCTAATCAGCGTCTGCCTACCTGTCCTACTCTTCATAATTGCAGATCGCCGTCGCCGGTGGACGATAGCAGACGCTGCTGCTGGTCGCTAGATCGATAGCTATACTTCCCTAGTCCTCGGGACACTGGTGGACGCTAGTAGACGCTGCTAGTCGCTAGGTCGACATGTATACTTTGCTAACCGCTAACACTGCCGGTCGCTCGGAAAGCTAGTCGCTGGTGGGCGCTGCGGCAAGGTATGAACGCAGCCTTAGCCAGCGAGAAGCAAGCGTTAAGTCCGCTGGCAGAAATACCTTTGGGAAGTCGGCATAGCGTTGTTTCCGAGGGATTTCTTCATACCCTAGCTGGATTTTTTTGAATTATTTCATGATCCATCATTAGTTGTTTGTTTTATGAGATTTTTTTCGTTGCTGTGCGGAAAAGCTCTGAGGAGGGGGGGGGGGTCACCGGAACATCACGACTGCAAATGTATGAGAAAGAACGGACAAGGAAATTCTAGCCTGTGCTCTCTTTCGGCGCGGAACAATGTTTTCATGTTTTCGACAAGCAGCTGCCATCTTCTTGACGAGTGTGGCCGCAGCCAGAATGGTCTATTATGTCGCTGTTATACATTAGTGATCACTGAAGGCTGGAACTGAAAGGAATTCAATATCAGAGGAGTTTCAAATGAATCTATGTTTACTTTTATTTATTTATTGTACTACAGCATCTAAACACAGTACAACAATAAATGAAAAAGACACTAAATAACCTCGGGAGAGGTTCCATTTGGAGGACATATTGTGCCATATTGTGAATGGTACATCGCCCAGATCTAACCAAGTACAATCCTCTAAATTTGCACTTCAGCCTGGAGTTCCTTCCCTTGCAAACTTGTTAAGGTTCCCATCTCCTTTTCGGGATTCCAGTTCTGCACAAAAGGGGTCCCTTGAAAGCCACCTTCCTCTCCTCCTCCCCACCCTCGAGTCATTAGCGCTGAAAAAATTGTTTGAACCACCATAATATTAATTCCGCGATGGCACATATCAGAGTGGCACCTCAATGTTGTATTGTATTACTGCTAAAAATTAAATGAAATAAAGTTAGGAAATTAATGTCATAGGTCTAAACAACCACACAATCGTATAAGATATATGAGATTTTTCGAGACTTATCTCTGTTATTGCCAACGACTCACACCACAGGCAATCAATGACGAGTGGAGATCTTTGCTGGCATAGTACCGATCGCTTGAAAGGTGCAACGGAATCGGCGACCCCTATCCACTGCACCAAAGATGTCAATTGACCAAAACCTTGCAATTTTGTTAGACATTTCGCCCACGATCCTTTGCGCGGGCCATACCAACCCTTTTCAGACCAATTCCAATGTTTTTCAGGTAATTATTCAACTCGCAATTAATACATTCTGCACTAGTTACAAATAAATAAAACAGACTGTTCCCAAATTGGTAGTAAAAAAAAAAAAGCGCCTTCTCTTCTTGTTGTACGGAAGGTCGTGAGAAATGAGTGAAACTCGCTTCGGAAGAGCAACTCCGAGTATTCTTGTACTAGCTATGCTCAGAATTAGGAAATTTATGTTGCGAAGCCACAACTGCCAACTCGATTCTTTGAAAATATTAGAACTTTTTCAACTTTGTGGTCAGGGCGCGCTCTAATTGCAATGCTCGCTATACGGACAAAACTGGGTTCTGGCTATTTGCCAAAGTTTAATGATTGATGTCATGTTTTTCAATAAATGTTGCTTTATTTGTTTTTTGTCAAGTAGACTTTATTTCTCTGAGTAACTAAAATAGAAATGGTAAGCTTCACACGATAGATAACTACTCGCAGTGTTTTTTTTTATTTCTCAGGCTCGCTTTACCTACTTGATCTGCTTTCAATCCTTCTTTTGTTTGACATTCTGTGTGCGTATTGCAGCCAGTTTTATGAGGGTCGTTTAGATGCAAAACGAATTGTTGGAGCCGCCTTTATCGCAAGGCGTCATGCAGCATGTCACCTTGCCGCCACAACCGATGTCAGGACCTTTATCAGTGAGTATTTTTGATGCACAGTTGTTTTTACATTCAGAACTTTCGAGGGTGCTTACTTATTTGGGGAGGGGGGACCACGGGGCTGTCGGCGAGCGATGAGCGAGATAGTACTCGAAACAGCCCATAGATGGTTCCCGGCATAGTTGAAGCGCGAAACTAGCAGCCAAATAAGAATAAAGCAAAAAAGATCCGCCGGGAATGTGTTGTAAATAGCGCACAGATGGTTCCTGTCATATTCGAAAAGGGAAACAGATGGATCGAATAGAAGGTGAAGAGAGTTAGTGAGGCGAATTGTCTTGTAATTTTATTGTGAGGAAATTGCTCAGGGTTCAATTTCTACGATTTGATAGGTAGCTATTGCAGTAGATTCTTTTTAGATTTGCGGAATAGTTGATTGATTGCACTTTTACACAAAGGATGGGTTCATCTAGGCCAGAATTCCTTCCCTTGTAGGCTCAGGCAAAAATCTTGCGACCTACAATTGTTTCTTCGCACTTTTCAGCGTTAACTGTTTTGCCTTCTGTATATAAGCCTAGGGCGGTGTTATATTCATGTCCTAAACATGAAATTACTTCTATTTCGCCGAGGAGGGAGCAGAAGAGCAGATGAGTCATCGCGAGCCGCGTGCCCCCCCCCCAAATACGTTGCCACCGCATGAGGTAGTATGCTTTTTGAAAGCATTCGTAATCCTGCGAAATTCTCTACCGAAACGAGACGCACAGCGTTCAGGCCGCGTTTACACGCGGGTCTTCGGGGGAATCGGAGAGCTAGAGATGGGGAATTAGCAAAAAGAACATAAGATTCGACTTGTGCTCCAACTAGACAATTATCATGTTCTTTGTGCCAGCTCTCCACTTCTGTGGTGCTTCAGTTCTCCGTTTCCTCCATGCGATAGGGGACGGCTTAAAGGCATGTCACGAGTTAACCTAATACGCAGACATTTTACACAAGGTAATATTTCTACTTGGAGGAGGTACCTTTTCGCGGCTAAAAGGTACGTGACAAGGTGGAGTTCAGGCTTTGCTATGATGCGCGCCGTCGCGTTAGGCAGCGTTCAGACTTTCGCGCTGCAAAGGCCGCGCTTCAATTGTACCAGACCCCAGCTTCCCTTTATGTTCTTTCTTCCGGTATTCAATCCCTTTTTCACTGTTTCTCATTTCTACCTGATTCTTAGCTTCCTTTTTCACTTTAACATTGAATTGAAACAGAACAAAATTTAAGCATGACGGAACATTGACAGAACGAAAACAGTTTTATAATCGGGATCAACATGATGCACCACTGCAAGACATAAACATCAGTAGCAACCCTGAGACTGAATAATAAAGTCGAAAACGGTATACAAAATCATTATCACAGTGTCCTGTATCAAAAACTACATTAAAATTCAATGTTAAAGTGAAAAAGAGGAGCTAAGAATCAGGTAGAAATGAGAAACAGTGAAAAAGGGATTGAATACCGGAAGAAAGAACATAAAGGGAAGCTGGGGTCTGGTACAATTGCAGCGCGACAATTGCAGCGCTGCGCACGACAATTCTGAACGCTGCCTTACACTCGCAACAGCGCTCCAATCCTATATAAGTGAGAGCACCAGCAGGCGTTCACATATTTACAAAAAAAAGTGGAATATTCTTTTTTTTCAGCAAATGCCTGCTACGTCCGCTGCTGATTCCGAACAAACGGATCCGAATCGAGCTCGGAAGGTGTGGATAAATAGTAGCAATTATGGTTTTCATACGATTGATTGGATTAAATTTTATTCCAACCATAGGTGGCAGAAGTTTTTCTAACAGCTGGTCATGCCTTTCAAAAACTAGGCGATCTGGCGATGCAACTTCACATGGGTCCTTCATCTGTGCCCAATGAGGAGTGAGTGTTTTCATTTTTGTAGACTTCCCATGCTTGTTCTTTTAAAGTTTTCCGGATCTGCGTTTTCATTCTTTATATTGCTCAGTGGTTTAAATGGTTTCATGCTTGGAATTTGCCAATTTCTGTACAGCGAATCACTGCGTTCTCGGATTTTATCAATCCAACCTTCCCACTCTCCCCCCACCCCGCATTTGTGGAACAGTAGATGGACGCTTTCGACTAAGCATCCAAAGTAGTAATATTGACGCGCCGATGTCTGCCTCTTTGGGAAAGGGATGCTGAGCGAATGTGAAATCGAAAAATCAATAATAGAAGTCTCGCCGACATTGTGCTCACCTCCTCCCAATTGCAAAAATAGAATCCGCTGTCTGTTCTGCGGATTCAACATCCATAATGTGCGCTGATCCCGTAGCTCGTGTTGAGACTCCTGGTGCACGCTGTTCTGCGAATGAATTGGGCAGATTTAATGATATCGTTGTCCTCGAGACAATATTGGGTATTTTTCAGGAGATGGAGTGAAAATAACGTTGATCATTTGCGAGAAGCACTTACTCGTTTCGCTCATGAACTTGACCAAATAAGTAATAACGTACAGGCACGAACAACGTAAGTGTTCTTGGAAGAATTTGCAGGCGCTGTTCGGCGTGGAGGGGACATTTTGCTCTTTCGCCAGTCCTTTTGGTAGTTCCTGTTGAATTTAATGTTTCACCTCAGCTGTTCCATGGTGTCAAGTGTACGTGAAGCTTATGCTGCTGCATAGCTTTGCAGGATTTACAGGCCTAGACAGGAGGCATCGGCACTGATCGACAGGTACAAACAATAAACCGTCTTCTCCAGCCGAACTGCGCCGAATTCACATACGCGCCCACTTCAAAATTTTTCTTCAGGAAAATGATTAGCACCGATATTCGGCGGAGGCATATGACTCCTCAGCGGCCAGTGGCCTCTGCTATATCTACCCTAAAGCGTCAGCCTGCCAGGCTTGGTCCTGTTATTGTGCCGAAACGATTGAATGTTACCAGAAATGCAACAAGGGTGAGCTCTTGATCTGTTCGATTTCATTTGTATCAGGCTGCCTACTATGTGGTGTGTTTCTTGTTATACACATTTTTTTGACTCAAAATTTCAGTACCTCATTTATATACGTGGGTTAAAAATGGGAATGTATGCGTATCGATTTGGAAATTCCCAAGTAATCTGCGAACGCTGCGGAATTTCCAATTTACGCGTACATACCTTTTCCGCTAATTCTGCGGAATCTGTGTGTATTAATGCGGCCTCACAAGTTTCTGACATGACTAGCAACTTCAAAGGTTTCGTTCTCTGTGAAGATGTTTCCATTCCTAGCCTCAAGGAACTGCTTTCCTCCAAAACATTTTTTTCAGCCCCAGTATGTGCCTGGACGTCTATCAACAGCTCCTCCTGCTATTTCACAAGTAATTGTGCCCACCACGAAAACCTTTCCAATGACTAGAGCGAGCTCGTCAACATTTGCTGGACAGCGACAGTACCTGGTGCCAATGACCCAAGCAGGCCCATCGCGGACGTTACCTGTGGTGACGTCACGTGTACAGAATCAAACACCAATTCATCATGCACAAAGTTCCACAATGGTTTCACATCAAGGACCGCCCACTTTGGTACCAGTGATGATGGACGACGCCCCACCTCGATTGGATCAGCGAATATAATTTGAGACAAGTGTTACTGTTGTGGTAAGTTGTTTTTCCGATTTTATTCATTATTATGTGCTTTTATCAACTTGGAAAGCGGTGACTCCTTACCTGGGCTGTAGCTTTCGAGGGGCCCTGAAGGTCCCGTTCTTAAGCCTGTAGCGGGCTTCAGCCCCTTGCGGACCACCTGTACCATGTGCAGCACGCGGTCGTCAGAAGATGAATCGGTTCTTTTGACTTCTTAAGATGTGTTACGAAGTTGAAAGGGCGCTTTCGAAATCAGAAAGCTTTTTTCTCTTAACTTATGAGGTAGTACGTCTACTGATTAAAGAAAAATGTGGAATTGCGCAGGGATCATCTATAACGGCGGTCCGCAATGGCTCGAAGGTACAACGATTGCAATGTCATGGAGCTATGGATTGTAGGGCCCAAACATGAATTTATAGGTGCTGAGTCTTGTTCTCTGGGGATCTGGGGCGCTTTAGGGAGGAAGGCTTGGCTCGGCGCCCAGCCAGGTCTCCATGGTTTGTTGGAAGAGGCAAGTGACAACAGTTGTCTGGCGTTCTGACTACCTTTCTCTGATCTAACGCGGTAAAAAAATTGTGCGACAGAGAGACCGGCTCAGGCTGTTTATGGTAGGTGTACCTACTTGGAAAACACAGTATTAACCCCATTATCAATTACTTCTTTTCAGTATCCGGTGTAAGTGCTTTTCTCTGAAAACACCTTTTTTAGGTATCACAATGGAGGCGATATCAGACACTTATGACGTCGCACGGTGAACTCTGTTTGTGCCTTGCGGGTGTGTCTTTCCATTTGACTTCTTTTTGCACATACCTGTTTCCTTGCATATATGTTAGAGTTACAACTAGATAGTTACCAAGCATAAATGGTTACTGCTTTCTTCTGGCTCTTCTCTTCTTGATAGCATTGCTTGGCTTTTAGCGTGTTTACTTGTTTCTCGTACCTTTGTTTGCTTAAAAGTTACCCCTTCTCTGCATATCCTTTGACTGTAAGCTAGTCGCCTAGGGAAATAGAAGCTCTTTAAAGTTTTTTCCTAATTTTCCAAAATACATCCCTCTTCTTACCCAGCATAACATGCTGTCCGCTTGACAAGGAGGCAGGGTGGTCTGCAAAAGTGCAGAGAACCAATACATGTACATTATCTTGTTTTTCTTGGCTAAAAATGCATTGAAAATTGATTGCTGTGGTGGTCTTTTAGCTAAGCGAATATCTGTTTTGAAACGTAGTTTTCTGTTGTCGTTTTTCCCTTTGCACTGTTGCAGCTCTCCTGACGCTTACTTTCACGGCGGCTGATTTGTTTTTGAATAGAATGGGCCGTCCATGGACATTTTGCAAAGGAGGAATTTTTGATAATGCTTACAGTCCTGAAGATGCATTTTTGTCATTAAGCTGCTGGAACTGTTTGTTCCTTTTCTGAGGTATAGCGCCGAATAGTGGGGGGGGGGGGAGGGGGAGGGGTCGTGGATTGCACTGTCACCGCAACGGTCTGATGGAGAAGTTCGAAGGCGAAAATGTTGTGGTGGACAGCGCATCGAAGACCACACAATTACATTTACCACCACCAGGGTTGGTCCTTAACTGTTAACTGAGTTAAATCTGCGTGTGCTAGCTCGTCCAAAAGAATCAGAAAACCCAT